GGGCAGAAACTGAACCACAGGAAGTTCCATCTGAACCTGAGAAAAAACTTAGTCACTGTGAGGGTGACAGAGCATTGGAACAGGTTGCCCAGAGAGGTAGTGGAGTCTCCTTCCCTGGAGATATTCAAAAGCCGTCTGGATGTGATCCTGGGCAATATGCTCTAGAGGACCCTGCTTGAGCAGGGAGGTTGGACTAGATGATCTCCAGAGGTCCCATCCAACCTAAACGATTCTGTGATTCTGTGATTCTGTGATCTCCTTTCATATGTTACCTTGCTGGCACTTTATTTGTAACTTTGTCATTAGCACCTTAGTTTATGAACACTGTGTAGCGCATTTTGTCCTCAGAAGTCTTGCAATATGGTATTATCCAGATATACATGCAGGATAGAGATGTAGCAGCTTACTCTAGGTAAGGTAAGATTCTAGATGAGACTCTTCAGAGAAAGTGGGAGCCTTTATCTCTTGAGTCATCTGATTAATTTTCATTTCCTGTTATAGGATGAAGTGAATTGTGCTCTGGAAATACTTACTTCTCTCCGTTGACTGTAAAGACAACTTAGAATGAGCAGCTGTTATGTAAATCTCTGCACTGGCAAATGCCATCCATGAACGCTTTACCACCAGCTCATGTGACTTAGTTGACTTTTTATATATATATATATACATATATACATATATATATATGTATATATATATATATATGTTTATATATATATATACATATGCGTAAATATATATTTTATGGCATAAAATATATGGCTATACTTTGTTTCATGCAGACAGAATGGGAAAAAGAATTATTTTATCCTTTTATTTCTGAGTACAGTCCCTCAGGTGCAACATATTTTTAATAGGATATTATTTGTGCCTTATTGTTTATCCTGTAGTAAAGCCAGTGGACATAAGAACCTGACTTTTTTGAGATATTTGAATGTTTTTTTTTTAAGAATCTCAGTCTTGCACTGACCCTCTAAGGAGTCCATATCATCCTCCCATCTCCCTCTCTAGATTTATCAATGGTGATCTATATAGTTAATTAAATCTAGGTCTAACTCCCAGGTTGAGATTCTACTAACATCCCTGTTGTTTATGTGCATATTTAAGTGCATTCATAATTCAAGCTGCAGAGCACTGTGAGTAGTGGCTCAGCTGGAGGGTGGTCAGTAACAAGACTCAGGTTCTGTGAGTTCATCTCTTGAGGGCCAGGCTTCAACCTGCAGCGTATAAGATAACACAGAAATCATGTCATACGCATTCAAGCCTACCCTATACCTTATCAAACAGGCACACCTCTGAAGTCTCACTCCTTTCTGAGAGTAATCTTCCCCATACACATGAGAAAGCCCGGGCAATGCTTATCAGTGAAACTTCTAATTTAATGAACTTTGGGAGAACTTAAATGTGGTAAGTTAGGGAAGGGAAGTTTTGAATCCCTATTGAAATGTAATACAGAGCAAAGCATGTTGGCCACTTTATAACAGCTAAAAAGCTGGCTAAACTATAAGGTTTGGCTTGCAAACAGACACATGAATAAAAGCAGATGGTGGTTATAAGCTGAACTTTCCTGAAAAAATGTAAATAAATCACCAAGGTCTTCATATATGTGAAAGCAACCTAATTTAATCCTTTTGCCCTAACAAATGTGTCATGTACTCCACTCTGGTTTGGTCTTATACTCCTAAAACAGGAAAACAAGTTATTATATATGCCCTGAACAGACACAAAGGCAGACTGTAGTTCTGAAAATTTCAGCATGGTTTCCAGGGTTCATCTCTGCTGTGAGCAGAAGAAGGATGCAAGAAGAAAAGAAGCAACTGGTGCACATATTAGTACAGGTGAGAAGGGACTAGGGGAGCCACGAATACTCTCATCTACTCTTATCACATCCTGCTTCCCTTAAGGTCCCTTTTTGTCTTTGACTACTTCTAGGTAGATGAAATCAGGTGAATGTGATCAGGAGAGGCTTTTTGAAACAGAACCCTCTACATTGAAAGTGTTGATCATTCTTTGTAGGAACATAGCAGGACTGACTGTAAGGCTTCTCAGGCTTTAGATGGAATTTATGGACCAGATATAAAGGAAATGTCGTAATTCAGACAGAGAGATTAGGCTTAGACCTTTTAAAGCAATTGAATCTTGCTTTCCTAATCATGAAGGGCCCTGCTATTTCTGTAGGCATCATATGGAATCCTCCCCCTCCCCTTTTCTATAAACACTAATTTATGATTGAATCTGGCATGGGATTTATTGGTTTGTTAGTTTCTGGAGGCCAGCATACTATTGTAATAATAAAAACTCAAAAGAAACACATTTGAGAGATGGTGATGGAACATGACATAAACTAATTTTTCTCACAAAATAAAATAATGACATCTAGTCATCCAGACAATACATTTAGAAAAAAGAAGTTTTCTGAAATGACATATTTCAATGAAACAAGCCATTGCATGGTATTTTTCTTCCCAAAACGCTTATCTTCAAAGTGCAATATATTTGTACTGACATGTTTCTTCTGCTAAAATATTTTTCACCTAAAGTAGTGTGTTTCACTGAAACAACAGCAATGAAATTCTGCACTGAAATTATTTACTTCATGATTTGAATTTTTAGTTGTTTCAAAGACACAAAATAAATTCACTATTTTTAGCTGGAGATGGGTACTGCCCATCTCATTATGAAATTCTTCCCCTTAATTCTTAAACCACAGTTATAAATTCCAGTAGATTGTCTTGAGATTTGTTTAGAAAATTATATGACAGTCTTTGATCTGAAGGCTTCAGTTTACATTTTACTGCTTCACTGCATGCAGTGATATTATTCCAGATTTATACCAGCCCAAGTGAGAAACAAGTTTTGGAATGGAATGGAGAAAATTTCTAAGTAGAAAAGGTTTTCTTCAGTTAGCAAGTAAAGGCAAACAAAATCCACTGACTGGAAATAAACATTAGTTAAGCCAGGCTTGATGTAGGGCATAGATTTCTAGTGGTGAGAATGGCAGAGCACTAGAAACCAAATTATCAGCATTTGATAATTTAGCATGCTAACATTTATAAATGTTAGCATACTAACATTTTTTATGATGTTCTATTTGTAACTGAAGATTAGATGTGATCCCACAATAGCAGAAGTATTATGGCTTCCCAGGACAACTGTCAAATAAAACTTCAGTGTAGGAATTCTTAGGTGAACAGCTTTGGTTTCTGTTATTCTAGACTAGATTATTGTACTGTTTCCTCTTGAAATCCAGGAATGGCTCATCAATGAGATCGTGTTCAATTTTAAAGGGAAAATATCAAATTATACTTGAACATTATGTAACTATTATTTACGGATGTAAAGCTAATCCTTTAAAACTGCAAAGAGAGAGATTGTTATTCAGGGATCTGAGTCTAGGTGCACTCAATCTGCAGAAAAATACATTGGAAATATGACTCTAACTATTATATAGAAAAGAATAATAATCAAGATTTAGGTCATATCACAGTTTTTTTTTAATACTGTTCAAAAAGTACCTGACTCTACATAAACACCAACTATAACATGTTGTAGACAGTCGAGAAACAGGCAAATGTATTTTTCAATGCTAAAATAAATTACATTTGTACAGGTAGAAAGCAAAATCAAAGCTGATAAAAATGTTAAATTTTATGAAAAATCATTTTCAGTTCACATCAAAATAATAACTTTACATTCTCTATTGTTTTAATAATATAAGCAGCAACAACATAAAAAGGAACAAACGCTCACAGAATGTTTGAAACCAGTATTTCATAAGTTATTAGCAAATTAAAAAAAAAAATAATTACAAGCACTTGTAGCCCACACATCTTTTAGAATTGGCACCGTCTCTCTAAAACATCTATATTCTATATAGATTTCTAATTACAAATACCACCAGCAGCTGCCATATAATCCTATTAGTACATATAATATACATAGTATATTTGTTCTCGTTTGGCAGATCAGAATTACTTAATGATTATTGTTTGAGTGTTTGTACTGTCGTTATTCAGATGAGACAAAAAACAGCCATATACACCAATTCATCACCTAGATGAATTTTTTTACTTGCCTTTATCCTTCACTGACCTGTATCTTTTTTTCTTTTCACAATTTAAAACTGTAAGTGACAATTGCAGAGATCTGAACAGAGGGAATAACACTAAACTATAGTGAAAAAAAGAGAATTCATATCATTCAGTCAAAGTCTTTAATATGTGCAGTACACACTCAGATGGGTAGCAGATGAATGATTTTCTTGCTCATGGGAAGCACTGGCTTCCTTTTATGAGATTCATGAAACTGCAGGAGAACAATGGCCTGTTTCTTATTTTTGGGTATATTATCTCACATGCTTGGAAATATTCAGTCAAAGTGCTATTTTTCCCATTGGAATATCTGCTAGAGTAGCAATGATAAAGAAAAATGGCGGGAAGATACTCTCCACCAAGCCTAGAAAGTTGCTTCAAGAATGGGCCTAATAAAATGCAAATGTTTTTTGACTTTAGAGAAAGTGGAAGGAACATCCTGTATTCTGTCATTCCCTGATGAGGCAAGTAACTAAAATCTAGACAAGTTTGGCCACTGTCAAACTTATATTTTCTTTACACGGACACAAATCTGAAGTGATTTCATTGAGCTCAATAGGTTGAGGGCCAGTGCCAGTAAAGAGTTCAGCACCTTACAGTGATGCCACGTAATATCTAACTTTTTGTACTATCTAGTACCAGTGTACTTTTTTGTACACTGATGTGGAGGCTAGGATAATGTCCAAATGTTAATGTTAAATGTCTAAAATTATTGAGAGGTCTATGAGAAGAAGGAAGGCAATGCAATAAGGAAAGGGCTGTCTGATATTAGTCTCCTCAAGCCAGTATGAAATGCAATATACAGAAAAATACAAAGCCTCAGACCCATTCCTGCAGATGGCTACAATTTTTGTTTCAAAGATTGGCTGCCTTTGTAAAAGGTGGCTGGACGAAAAGGAAGTGGGTCCCTTTTTTCTATAGTAGTTTTTCAATAGTCTCAGGAAAGAAGTGGGAACCCCAAGTTTTGTTCCTTCATCTGCCCAAGAAGACTCAGGCTCTCCTTTCCCAGAGAATGGTCAGAACTACAGGTGGAAGACAAGGTGATTATGGACACAGAGGTAAGAAGGGCACATCCTCCCTTCCTGTTACTAAAGCACTTTTCAGGAACGTATTTAAATTTTATTGAGCCAATGCAAAGCACAGCAAAAATGGTAACTCCACTTCTTTGGAGATAAAATGCTCATCTGGTCCCTGCTCCCAAGAATTTTTTAAGTATTTTATATTAAATGTTCATACAGTGTACCTTACTATACCCAAAGTGCTGAGTAATCTTCCTCTTTTTATCTCAGACTCTTGACCACTTTTCTATATTGTGAAGTTACCTTAGTGAGATGAACAGAGGGTGAGTCAACATATAGTCATTAGAGAACTTTCTTGCCAGGAGAAAGATTTCCACCACCTCTGGCAATGGCAGGGTTTGAATTTAGACCTCTCTCTTTCTGTATGTGTATTCTAAACCTGTAGCAGCATAACTAGAATCACAGTCTTAAAACAAAGGAAGATTTATTCTCCATTTTGTAGGGAACATGACTCTATCAGCCTATGTTCTGTATGCTCCATGGATTCATTCATGGGATCTATAGGGATTTAAACCCAGGAATCTCTATTTTCTGATCTCTGATGGGTTTTAGCACAAGCTAGATGCAAAGATCTTTAGATGTATCAAGGTCAGGGCCGTTCTGAGCATATGCAAAGACGCAATGTTAGATGTTTAAGTGAGGTGGCAGCTGGGTGGGGGGGTTTATAATTGAGTTTTGAATGTACACATTAAATTCTGCTGAAGTCCTAACTTTATGCACTAAAGTCCTTTTTTGGGTCAGCCCTGGTATGGGTCTCTAATAGAAGAAAAAGTTATGGCCATGTTACTAATCCTGAGCATAGTGCTCTGCTTAAGATCTGGTATTTCCAATATAGTCTCTGTCCCTATCTTCTTTTTCTCTTCTCCCCTAATAATTGATCTATTAAGCAGAACACCAAAGTTGCCCCCTTTCCTCTACAGATTTTACACCTGCAGCTATGAACTCTTTCAGTTTAGTCTTGGTCTCTCTCTAAAGGAAACATCCCCAGATGAACTCCACTATCATCCAATCTGAATCATGGACTGATCTTCCCATTTACTCTTTTAGGACTTCTTCTTCTCCCAACTTTGATCAAAGAGTTGTCCTTTTGTAAACACAGCAGCTGAATACACATCCAAGCAAGCTTTTTTTTTCTTTTGCTTTTAGAACTTTTAGCAGTTAACTTGTAATTAGCATTTAATTTTTAATTCAGTTTTGTAGCTGGAAATCAACAGGAAAAACCAGCACCTTGTGATCAGCCAAGCTTCCATGAAACATCAGCAAGTGCTTTGTGGACCATGATCTAAGAATCTCTGGTCTACGGTATCTGTATAAGTGTAGGCACCAAATATTGAGATAGAAGTATGAGGAAGCACATCTCCAAAGTAAGTCATGCATTTATTCTGCAGAGCCAATTAAAAATTACAGTTCTTCAGTATTGCTAACACTTCTCCACAACTGGCCTGCTAGAATGGTTGGTTCACTTTATTTTAAAAGTACAGCTTCCAGAGATGTTTATACCTTCATTCTTCAGGGGTTGGCCTCAAGCGCAAGAGACAAATGATTTTTCTGAGGTCCCTATGATCAAGAATGACAACAGTTTCAACTCCTTTAATTCCCTTTCTGGCAGCAGCACTAAACTGGAAGGCAATTTCAAGTCATTCATTTGGTACTTTCACATTCTTTAGTTAGAGTGGAAAGTATTCCTGATAGTAACCTTTACCTTTACAACTGAAAAATTCTAGCTTTCTATCTTAATGTTCTAAAAAGGAGATTAGCGCTAGCATACAAGCAGCATAATGAAGTTATAATGTTTTCCACTCGTAATTTTCTTCTTTCCTGTATCAAACCCACTGGTTTCTTACAGAGGACTTTCCAGTCCTGCAGATCTCCCGCTGCACTCACTCTAAGTCCTCTGAGTTACTGCCACATTCATTACACAATTGTTATCTTTCCCCCTAAATCTTTCCTCCCTCTGATATAATCCAAGTACATCTTGCAAGGTAATATCAGCATGTATCAACCTGTACAGTTACCATATATTCTGCCCTGCTTACATACTGCTAAGGCTGACCTATCTTTTATCAAAGGCTGACTGACAATTGCTCAACTGGAGAAGAGAAGTACCATCTTAGTGCGGCCAGTCCTCTGTTACTTGCGTAATTAAAACTTTTGTACTGGCTGATGGATGTACAAAAGATATGTGACTCTTCCCCAGCTGAAAATATGCAAGAAGTGTTTAAAGTCTGGGTAGTGTAACATTAGAGTTTTAGTCTCTTAAAACATGTATTCAACTGTCACACTGAGGCTTTTGTGTGTGTGTGTGTGTTTATGCACATGTAAGCATGCATAAATATATGATCTTGGCAACATACACAAAAATTGTCAAGAAACTCTGAGCAATAGCCAAGATTATGTAGAACTGCAATTTAGGAGCAGCAAGGATATTTTAATACAGAGTCATGATTTGATAGTTTCTATCTCATGTGCCTTTTTGTTCATTTTATTTTCAACACAAGATTTATAAGTCTATCTGCACAATCCTTATTTCCACTGTTGATTATTTCTTAGTGCAGTGAAGCCCACGATCTTAGCAGAAATACTTGTTTAAGCATCTACCAACATAAGGAATGATTACAGAAATGGGGACCTAGATGGCTAGGGAAAGTTTGGGGTAGAGAAGGATCTAATAGTGATATTGGTCAATAACTTAAAGTATAAGAGAGCTGACAGTAATAGAGTATCTTTAAAATGCACACTGCTTATCTACTCACACTCTATAAAAATAAAAATAATATTACACTGATGGGAAATGTTGTCATATAAATCTTCCATGAACAATCTTCAAGTGGTCAAGACTCTCTAAATGAGAATATTTGTACCATATACTGATTGGACATGACCAATCCTAAAAAGTGGGTTGTAACCTGTGAAAGAAGATGCTTTCTCCTAATGACACGGGCAGCTAACGAATGATGAGACATCCTAGTGCCGTGAACCAGGAGGGCAAAAACAAGCTCCACTCTGGAAGTCATGATGCTGCACAGATCCGAGTCTGTGCTAACCAGCCCTGCAAAGCGGCAGGAATGGCATATACGTAACAAGCACTTACGGTCATGACTTACTGGATCTAACAGCCTTCCGGAGTAGAGCTGACTTGTGACCTGCTAGTTCAGCCTATAGGCATAGCGAGTAAGCGACTGTACCTGGCAAAATAAACACGTCCATACACTGCTACTGGATAACACTACCGTAATTTTTTTTAATGTTGTTGAGCAGCAAACTGATGTGCAGCACATAACCTAATGGGAAAACTGACTTCCAAAAAGACAGGGAATGCTCTTTGCTAAAGTAAGTGAATAAGCTTTCATCTTTTTGTTTTCTTTTTTTTTTTTGATTAAATATTTGTTAGATTGCAGATGAAGGAGAAAAAGGGGGCATGATTTTTGATTGTAAGATATTTGTAATCTTTGAAGAAATAAGATGTAGGGGTTTAAAAAAATGAGACATAGCAGCCTCATTTCGAGGCTCCCTTGCATAAGGCTGTCTTCCGTACAAGGCTGCATCAACTCAACTTTGAATGGAAGTGCATCACTCACTGCTTCATACTATCCTTAAATAAAATAAAATAAAACAAACCTGCAAAAATTTGGCACCTGAGGATAGCTATGTTGTGAAGGGGAGAGCCAATACAATGTGCATTTAGGGTCTGACTTATGAGTTCTACATAGCTATACCTATCAAAAATTATTTAGCTTCTATTCAAACTTTAAATCTCTTCCCTGCCTGTATTAAAAAAGTGCCATGATGGTATGAAGTGCACTAAACTGCATTATTTTTATATAGGAAAAAATGTCAGTAATCCCCTTGCCTCTTCTAGGAGTTGCTAAGAAACAAAGAAAGACTCTGTTGTTTCAAATTTCATTAGGTCTTCTCTGTTTTAACCTTTACTTTGTATTGCTTTGAAAGTCTTTTTTTTTTTTTTTTGTCACAGTTCATAGCTGCAAGGCATAGCAGCGAAACAAAGTTAAAATTGTTGCTTATTAAAGAGTAGCTAAACCACCTCTAAGCAGATTTTAACACAGTTTTTTTTCCTATGTATGAATTATGATTATGACAATCTTTTCATTGACAGTTAGCATTCATCATAATCCAAACTGCTTTCTTAGAATTCTATCATCCAAAGAAAGGAGAAAATCCTTAGAGTGTTTACCTGTTCCTTACAAGCAAAGATTATGGGAGCCCAAATAAGTTTTTTAACTGGCAATGTTAGCATAAGAACGTCCATAAAAATGTATTAATTTCAGTAGGGAGTGCAGCTATTATATAGCTTGGTAGTGCTGCTAGAAAGAGAATATTCACCTCAATAACTTGCCCTGATTAGGGAATTACAAAACAGTACTCCAGAAAATATTTTTTGCTACTTCGTTATTAGTTGGCAACATGGTGAAATAGTCAGCAAATCTTCCTTGGGTTTTGTTGCTGTGAAGGTGAATCCAATATTAACAAATTGAATATTAGATACTGATAGAAGAGAATTTTCATAAACAAATGTGTAGTTTGAGAAGTCACTTGTAAAGCCCTCCGTATTGCAGTCACTCACTGCAAAGCCTCAGCTTAGTGTTCTCCACGTATAACGTATCACGGACACAATATGCTTCAGCAAAAAGTTTGGTAGTTAGTGAATATACATTACTGTTTTTTGAGATCTTCATAGAAAAAAAAAAAAAAAAAAAGAAAGAAAGCTTGATAGGTTGGTCCCCAGAGTTGAGTCTGTTAGAAAATGTACATTCAATGTTTGGTCTTCTATTCTTGATAAAAGATCAAGGTTCACTTCTGGGTAAGGAATCAGAGTAAACAAACAAACCACTGTACAGTTGTTTACAATCTATTTTTCCCCCCCCGTACATTGTACACAGGGTTCATTGTAATACTAAAGCAAAGCACTTGGTATTTAACTGATTTAACAGACTCCTTATAAGCCCTCAAAAATAGATGCAGTGTTTCTGAAAAGCCCATGTTTTTTTAAGGCCACGAAAATCTGCCAAGAGTCATTTTATCTTAAAACAGCATAATTCTGATGTTTTCCCTCATGAAGTAATTTCACTTCTCACTCTTTTTTTTCTCACAAGATGACCCAATGCCTCTCCATCTATCTGCGTAAACACTGGAGATCTTGAAGGCTTGGCTGTCCCCTCACTACTTGCTCGTAGTCGTTGAGATCCAATGTTGTCTTGAACTACATTCACAGAGAAGAAGAACTTTGAGTATAATCTCTGATGAGGAGTGTGTCATACTTTGGGGAGGACGGGATACAGAGAGCTGATTCAGAAACTGGAGAGCTGGGAGATGCACTTCCAGAGTCGATGGAGTCTCTAAAGGGAGAAGGAGGAGTTAAAGCTACCAGCTCCTCAAGGTCTTGCTTTGTCGTGGGGGTCTCTGAAGTGCCTTCTTTGACACTGTCACTTGAAGGTTTCCTCGCCGACTGCGAAGCGCCATTGACTTCAATGGCAGGAAGTGGTTGGATCTCTGCAAACGTGGTCATCGTTGTAGGGAGCTGGATTTCCCTTGGAATCAGGTATGAAGAGCAGAGAGGAGCGGCCACCATTGTCCCTGGAGTGGTTGTTGAAAGCATCATAGAGTTCAGTTCACTGATATTGGCTGTAAAGCGAGTAACCACACTACTGATCTGCTCCATGAGAGATCCTTGAGAGGAGCTACTTCGCTGGGCGTGCTCTGTCTGAAAGGTAGGGACATCATCTTCTGTTCGGCTAACGGAGGCAGTTCGGTGACTCACCGTGCTGATAGGTGAGGGAGTCTGCGGTCGATACTGAGCTGGATACTGCTCTTCTGCTTCTGAAACGTCATAAAGTGTTTTGGCACTGGTCTCAGGAAATGTAGCACTGCTACTGTGTCGGCTACTATCTGTGCTTTTAGAAAAAGGCTTGATCACTGCAGTTTGATTAGGATTCTCTTTTTTGTTGATGTGGACTGACAGCCGCTGCCAAAGGTGTGCTCCTCTGCTGCTCTTCTCATTCTGGGCCCAGGAAACTGATTTCCCATTAGAGCTGTAAACAGAAATGAGATAAGATGGTAAGTTGCATCAAAGTCAGAACTATAATCACAGCACCTATACCATAGGTATCTGATGTCCCAGTGCTTGTACTTATATATGTCTATCTACAGCTCTACCTTTCTCTGCAGCTATATCTATATCATCTATATCTACATCTGTCTACATATACCTGCACCTATGCCTATACCTATCCATATCAATATCATCTATATCTACATGTTCCAAGAAAACAAAGCAGACTCCTGTCTAGTTTGATGAAGTGGAAGGTACAGTGAGGCAAGTAGTTCAAACGGTGCCTGTCTTCACAGTATCACGTTGACCTACAAGCCGTGATGACCAAAATCTGGCCTGGATATTTGAAACATTTCAGATTGTTGGCCAACAATGTAGCTGTTGACCTAACAGTCCTAAGGACAGTATCTGTCTAGGTGATCTGACAAGAAGCTGAAAGAAGTGCTGCCCTTGTGCCTTAAAAAAATTCACTGCAAATCAAATGCAATAAGGAAACACCACTCTGAATCCTCACACTCATGATATAGACATCTGTGTAATGATAAGGTGGCCATTTCCTCTGGCAATTCAGCTCCACAAAGGACATTTTGTCCTATGATGGATGTGTGTGTTCTTTTCAAGTGCAGCTAAGTCATAAAACTGGTGGCACTCCCAGGCAAACAGAGCCTATTTCCACTTTAGCCTGAGATCAAGCTTTTGATGAAGGCAAGAATGGTGAGCTGATCGCATAGGCCATTTGTAGACCAAATTGTGACCCGCTCTGTGCTGGTTCGTGGGCACTGATGACCCCTCTGTTGCTGCTCTGCCCTCTTGGGGCATAGGCAGTACCTGTCTTGGGTGAGGGAACAACTTTGGTGGTCTCTCTCCTGATGGATCAGCATCGGGAAAGGAGGCTGTGGGACTGAGAGGTGTGTAGAGGAGGGATGAAAAGGTAAATGAGTGAAGAGAGTGGATGAGAGTCCTGGACTGACTGGTTTGCAGGGCACTACTATGAAGGCTAGCCATGGGAGCATTTGATGGTAGGGACCTGGGGTGTAGGGTCCTGGCCATGAGTTTCGGGGTATGGTGGAAGGATTGAAGACTGGGAGATGGAGAAACGTATTGTGTTATGCCTGGGAATGCATCTGTTTACAGCATAGTACTTGGAAGTACTGGAACAGTGCTCAGAATGGGGCTATACTACTTGCGGCTGGGAGGGGACATTTGTAATGGCTGACCTCTTCTCAGCTGAGGTACTTAGTAAGTTAGTCACCACTAGCTTAAAGGTTTTTTAATTGCAGGTCAACTCAGAAAATAACACTGTCTTCCTAGTAGGGAGGAAATGATGGACAAGCTATGCAAATTGCTCATTGTGACCTGCATTTGGAGAGAGCAGTAAATATTTTGCTCCACTCTCCTCCAAAACGAGTCCTCTCAGAGTCATAGCTCTCCAGCTCCCATCACTTGCTCTTTAGCAAAGTTGTTTATTTTTCTCCTCTTAACTGCTTAAGAAAAAGTTTCATAGAGCAAAGCTGAGAGCAGAGCTTATAAACACACAGTATGCATTCACTCCTTTCCTTTCTTTTTCTATCTTCCTTTTTTACGCTGATGTATGCTTATACATGTATTTGTGTATATAGTTCTTGGGATTAAGAAAGACCATTAGCAATATTTCTCAGATGAAACAAACAATGACTCTGAAATGATGTCAACAGTAATAACATATGAACAGGCATGATTTATATATACAATACAACAGAATTTTAAACAAAAACATTTGCTACAGCCATTTAGGTTTTTCAAAAGACAAGTAAAATGGACATCCTGGCAAAGCATCATAAATTTGTTGTTCGTTTCTTTGCTTTTTAAGCCTGAAATAATTATACTCACAGGTTAGCCTGCAGAGTACAGTTTGCAGGAGACACAGTTTACTAAACACAGATGACTTTATATTAATCTCAATGTGAAGGCTTGCTGCACACTATCAGTTTAATAGGTCTTCCAGTCATCCAGAAAAAAGTTGTCTGCTGAGTGTGAACAAAATTTCTTCTCGTGGGTTCACATCCACAGTCACATTACATGGAATTACAATGGATCGTGTAACACAGCATGCACCAACAGCTTTCCTCCTCAAAAGCAGTGTGACAGAGTCCAGCAGACAAACACAACGTAAGCCACCATGTATTTTAAGAAGGGCCTGACTGGGAGATGATCTGTGAGTGTATAAGGGTTTACTACTGCTGTGATCCACATGTTGTTCTCTGGATCCTGGAAGTAACCTTGCATTAACTACCTCTGCGCAAATGGGAAGATCCAGAGTTTACTCCCAAAACACCAGGCAGAACAGCTGAGGGAAAATGCCTTGTAACTTGCTAATTATTAAGAGTGATCTCTTCCATTTACTGTATCTCAGTGAGAGCTGAGGGTTTAACAGAGCAAGCCAGCAAAGCAAAATCTAACCTGTAGCACAAATCACTTTTGTGAGTCTGTGCGTCTCCATGCCCCTGCTCTGTCTATGTGAGGATGTGGTTCTGAGCTGAGCCGGAGCTGCGACTAGCTGCCTCTTTTGGAGGAAAACCAGCGCCTCTGAGGACATTGTTGTCCTCTCACTGAAAGGGATATTCGGTGGGTGCCAAGAGCTGTTTGGGAGGCATGGCTCCTTGGTCATGCTGAGTCCTGAATTCAGTGCTAGCAGCAGGAGAAAATGTAGATTCTGTAGGAGGCAAGATGTTGCCTCTAGTTGTGGTATGAGGATGGAGATGAGACCTCCTCCCTGCTCCTACTGAGCAGGAGTGGTGAACTTGCACTCTTAACCTTGATCTGGGAGTAGAAGGGGGCTTAGTTCCAGTTCCTGGGTGTCCTAGCGGTGGGATCTCTTTACTCCCGCTGAGTTCAGAACTCAGAGGGATCTGTGACCCAGGCAAGGTAAATGCCAGCTGTTGATGATTGCCGTGGGAGACCTGTCAATTCAAATAGAAATGCTTTCCTAAATAAAGTGGTGTTTTGTTTATGCCACTTACTGCGAGAGGTGTGTTCTAGCACACCTCCTCACTTCAGGCATTGGCTCAGTCGGGGAGTACAAACTCTACCGCTTTAAGAGTGTGCTCCAAAGGCACTTAGACATTTTCAGCTTACTGAAGGTCAGACTGTGAGAGGTTTTAAAGGGAATAAGTCTCTCCCTGCCTGGTCACTGTTCAGGAAGCCGCTGCTGCTGCATTATAAGGTTACTAAGGAGGGAATGTGATATGAGAGCAAGGAGCCTGGGGAAAGGAAAAGGATGAAATATGGGATGAGTCCAACACTACGCAAGGGCAGCTGACAGCTAAATCTTCAGTGGAGTAGCTGTTACCAATCCTTTGAACCCCATTTTGGTTTTAGGTCACTCTCGGTTGAAGTAATTGTTCGCTGCCTTTGCTCTGCGTCTGAATATAATCAAGCCATACCTGTGGTTATAAAGGAGATCCACGGGCCCTTAAGGAGACCTCGTGGCTGTTTGAAGTACATTTTGGACAAAAGTCTGCATGTTTTGACCATTAGTCATTGTAAATTTATTGTTATAACAAACAGAATAGGAAGCAAGTAGCAACAAATCAATAGAAAATGAACTCAAAAGTAAAAACTCTAGTAGGTTATCTGGCAATAATTAGAACTGTTACTTCAGAAATATATTGTCCACTTCATCATATTGCACCTATTTACTATGTTACTAACAAATGTAAAAATAGCACTGGGATGAGGTGTGCAATCATTTAGCATCTTTAGCAAAGGAGCATTATTAGTTTTCATATATTGTTATGAATCTGGGTTAGGAGTACATACCAGGGATAGTATTTTAAGATTCTTCTCTAAATGCCTATTGCTAATCTGTCAAGTTAACCAAAAACCACCACTGCTTGTACAGCTTAAAAAGAAATAAATAGAGATACATCAAAGACATGGATTAGGGTGGCTGTTAATTGAGTATCACAAAAAATGGTTTATATTTATTATGTCCAGCTCTGCCATGTCCCTTTGAGAGATGGGAAACTTTAGGTCAGTGATATATCAGAGATTTTTTTACAAACAGATTTGGTTCCCTCAGATGAGAACAGCAAAATTACAGTTACAAGCTCCCAAAGAAACTCCACCGCTAAGCGTGGCTGAATATAGGTTAAATATTTCTACCTTGCTCTGCCCTTTTGGCTGGCACTTTGCAGCAAGTGAACCAGAGCAGGGTACAGGTCGTATCTGGAGATGAGCAAACTCAGAGCAGTGACCTTATTTCCAAACCAAAACGTTAGCAAGATACTTTTTTGCTAAAGTAAAATCTTTAATATGACATGTGTTTTCATTTCTTTCACTATAGGTTAATTAGGTTCAGTTTTATGTACAAAAGGGATTTCCTAAGAACCAGTCATACTATTTCTCTGGTCTCTTTACTAACAGCTGCTTTGTTTTTTTATAGCTAGGCCTTTTCCCAGCCTGCTAGACTTAACATGAGATAATATGTACAAGAAATGAAAGTGGTGTAAATGAGAGCTTTTGAAGACTCTTATATTTCCAGTCCTTCCTCTATAATTGTCCACGTGCTGACAGAATAACAATTTGTACGTGTTCCTCATTTTCTTCCCTTATTTAATCTCTTGAGAGTCACTTATGTTTTGCCTCTAAGGCTTTGTTTCACATTCATAATGGATATTAATTGCTTTTTATCCAGTTAGGTGGTAAGGAAAATGTTCCCCCCATCCTCTTACACATTCTTTTTTATTGTCTAGAATAGATGACTATGTCCTTGGCTGATGTAGCAGAGGTTTTGTTTCAGAGTTTCTTGCTCTGGGGTATGATCATCTATGAGATGATTGTACATAGCTCTGTTACCAAGGTTTCTTCAGCCAGCTGCCATTAAAGCAGTGGTGCTTTGTGAGGTCCTTCAAAATACAGGAGAAATAAAAAACAGGGAGAGGGACTGACAGTCACAGTAGTTGAAAATTCTCATTTTATAGCACGTATGTTATTCTCGTGGATTAGATGACGCTGCTGAAACGAATCCTGACGAAGAATGCTTAACAGTAGCAGGCAGGCTGGTATGCGTGACTAGTGTTGGGACAGTTATCAAAAGCACTGTTGGAGGTAATGTAATTTGAAGATAAGTCACTTAATTTCTTGTTAACATCTTTCATTTAAAATATTAAAATCTGTTTAAAATTATGACATTTAATATTGTCTGATGAGAAAATGCTGAATGCATAGTAACATATCTAGTATTATTCGCTGGTGGAAACTAGAATATGAGGAGGATGAATACAGTTTTAAATGAAGAATTTGAGGGAAATTTTGTTCTCTATCCTTAAAATTCAAAGTTGCTACCAACATCAGTATCTGATTCTAGATTTGAATTGGTACAGCTGAAAACACGCTGGACAATATATTGATGAAGACCTATATGATCTATATGCAAGTAATGATGATATGAACATAATAAAGAATGAATTTATATCCTTTTATTTATCAGTCTATGATTGGATGTTAATATTTCAGATTTGATTGAGCTAAATTAGGTAGAAAAGTTTTACTTAGATATTTCAACGTCTGAAGAACAGTGTTTTATGAAGCAATATCTTGGTTTTTAGGAAGCTGATGTAGTTAAGTTCGTGCTTCAACACTGTGCAGACCAAACCTGTTTATTAAGAGACTTCTCTCTTTAAGGGAGAATGCCTTTCTTCTTTTCCAATGAGAAACATCTGGATATGGTAAGCAGGATGAACTTCTGTACTCAGTCCATACAACCTTCTGCCAAGGAGATTTCTTGTTATTCAAATTAATGATAAGAAACCTTTGTCCTTTCAGAGTCCTCTGCTGAAACATTATTAAGGACTCGATGATATAATTAGTCTACCTGAAAAGGATTTGAGTACTGTCTGTAGATTTAATTAAAAATTGACTCTTCATAAGGAAGGTCAGTGTATGCCTGTGTTGTGTGCAAGCACGGGCGCACGTGTATTTTGTTTCTCTAGTCTTGCAATTTGAGTCAATCTCAGATCAATAAAAATTTTACTTGTAATGACCCAAGCTCCTGATCACTGGGAAAATGTAAATACATTGCAACGTGCTAAAGGCACGGGAATGAAATAAGAAGTCGAAGCAGAGAACTCTAGCACATCAGCGCACAGTTTCTCCCATGTCTGCGGGACAGCCTGGATGACTGGCTAAACTTGATACAGAACTTTGCAGTAGCTACACTGGGCCAGTTCCGCTGTCGTAATGCTTTGTTGATGTTGTTGCAGTTGCTGTCATTCTAAATAGCTTATAAGGAAACCTTTATCTGCCTATGTAATTGTCTCCCTGAGTGAAAGCAAATTCTGCCACACATAAATAGTCCATTAGCGATATATCTTTCAAGCTGTACAACTTAAATTACTCCTATAGTGCTTGTTCTGCAGAGATAAGTAACAACTAAATGCAAAAGGGGAATGATACAGGGTAAATACTCATTTTGTCCTGTCCTGGGTTCTACAAGTAAACAACAGCTTTTGCAATTCCATTGCAAACAAAAAGAGTTGCTTTCTGTCAGCAGCAGCAAGGACATTACTTATTTTACTCCTAGAACTATAACCTCTCTTTACCTCCCTTCCTTATGCTGCCAGTTACCATATACTGTAAATATATACATATGAATACATGTGTGTGTGTGTGTGTGTGCATTGAACCACAGCAGTAAAAAATAATTGCAGGCATTTTCATAACGGGACCTAGGATTCTCAGATCTCATGAGTTTTGCTAGTAAGTGGACATCTGAGCGTGTTAAGAGCTCTGAAAATCTCAGCTGCCAATTGTAAGAATGACTTTCATCTGTAAGGATGAAAGAAGCTACAAACTGACAAAGAGCTGGGAGACAGAAATTTTGCCAATGACCTCCCAGCGTAGCCACCAGCAACGCTAATCCTGGCAGCTGTTTCAGCAGCATGCCTGTTCAGAATGGGAAATGAAGTGCCTGGTATCTATCTGAATGAAGCATTTCTAGGAGGCCTATTATCCTGACCCAAAATGCAAAAATGATTTGAATGCCAGATGTAACTTCTTTCCCTTCTCACTGTGACCTCATTGTTATTGTTAATTAAGGCAGCTAGCTCTGTGTTTCGCTTTTCATCTGAAAAATGTCACTTCAAGCGGCTCAGAGCACATTGCTGCTATGCTGGAGCATCATATTCAGGGGATGGAGGGAGAAGAATGCTACCTTTGGATCTGGCAGTGCTGCTTCCTGGTGCACATATTTTAAAGATGCTTTCAACACTGCTCGTTTGACATGTTTCTTCACTGGTTTCAGCGGACTCTATGAAAATTTGCTAAAGGTATCAAGCTGAAATCTATTGACCATCAGTAAAAACGGGAAACATTCACTTCCCCTGACTCTGACATCAGGAGCACAGATAGTGCAAAAGAAAAAAAAAGAAAAAAAGAAAAAAAGAAAAGGAAATATTTCACTATCCTAGATTATCTCCAGAGTCAAGTGTTGATTTGAACTCTATCCTCTGCAAAGCACATAGGATGGGAGGAATTTCAGGCATTTGGCATGCCTGAGAAATAACTATGGAGACAAGAAATGACTCTGGAGGCATTTATGCACATGAGATTTATCAACAGAAAAAATAAGTCTTGTAAATTATTAATTAGTTTCTTATTTGTTGCATTTAATTAATCTAATGAACTAATGAATCATATTAATCACTTCATGATGTTTTCGATTCTATAATTAATTTTATCTGATATATGTTCACAGATGACACAGAATATAGTGACTTCTCTTAATCAGAAATTACCTTTCAAAGCATCACACAATGTACCCATTACTACCATTTTAGAATACTTTTCATCTTGAAAAACCTCAAGCCATTTGCATGACACATACACATTGCTAGTTAGGCTCTGATGTGAGAAATATCTACGCTGGGGTTGGAACATAAAAAATAATATTGCACAAGGGATTTGAGAACATGAGCTGAACAACACCGTCCAGCTGAAATTGCACAGAATTTTTTAGACTACAATGCTGTAAGTAGGATTTGTTCAGTATCAGGGGACCTCTTAATTTCCATTAGAGTGAAAATGAGAAAAGATGATGAGATCTTTCCACTATTCACAAACGGCCATACACCTGCATCTGTCTTTTCTCCGTCTACACTTCCTCACAGTGACGTCTAGCACTGGCTTGATACATACTGAGATGGAAGAATGACACCTACTTTGCTTTCGGCAACATCTACACTCTCTTTGAGGGGCTCCCAGGCTATTTAGTGGCAATTCTACTTAGTTTATGGACTTTGACAAGACCACTGGTCAGGACACTACGGCTGGAGACAACAAAACACAGCCACCAAGTGCAATGCCACTCTCTGTTAAGCAGCGGGTATTCTTAACTGTTTGAGTAGGTCTTGCGGCTGACAGTCTGGTTGTGGAACTATTACACTGACACAGTTTCCAGTCTTTTTGACTGTTAAGGCATCCTCTTTAACGGGGATCTCTTTCTCATCTCTACTTGACTCAGATCGATTACACTCTGGAATGCAAACAGATTCTTCACTGTGAAGATATAAAATATAAAAAAGAAGTTTTTCAAATATATATATAGGGATGGGCAAAACCATGAGAGGATACAGAGTCAAACAGTGTACAATGAAATATAGTTGTCTGACATTTACATGTACTTCTCTCTTCTTCAAAACTCTTTTATATAGTGACTCAAAATAGGTTTTAAAGGACGAATAAATATCACTGAAGGCAATGCAATGTAAAAAAGGAAAAAGAAATCCGAACAACACACAACGAAGAAGCAGAATCCAGCCTGATAAAAAAATGGTAGACATCACTGATACTTTTTGAACAACACTCAGCAATGAATGTCCCTGATGCTGTTTAAATAGCAAGAGTCTCCCAGGTGTGAGCTATGCAGTGTTACAGCTGCTAGCCTTACATACGAAAGAATGTTGTACCCAACGGGTACATAATGCTGTGAAAGTGTTTCATTGAGCACCCTCCTGCAATGATAAAATCCACCTGTGATATAACACCGGGGAGAAGTAAAGGTACACACTGTGCGCTAAGGTTACATTTATAAATACCTTATAGGGGTCAATAATGATTGAGTAAATCTTTTAATAGACAGTAAACCAAATATTTATGGCTTGTAATAGAATCTGGTACCTTCATATTTAGATTACCTTTTCCTAAAAGATTTACAACCTACTGTGATATATAGAGCTTATTAATTGATGGTCATGTCTGGAGAAATGGATTTTCTGTCCTACGAGGGAGTCTAATATTAAGACATTTATCTGGACCCAAAATGAGATAAATAGTTGAAATCTCCAAATACTTCACAGAATTAAATAGCTTGAAATATTTCAATATAAAAACATTTAAATAGCCATATTAAATTAGTTCATTGCAGTAACGCTGAATAAAATATAGATTATAATTTACATTAAAATGTAATACTGATGTGTAATATATTAATGACCCCCCCAAATTAAACAAAAACATCTAAATTAGATGAAATGGAGAAAGTCATGGAAAAAATGTTCTCACCTCTATTTAAAATCAATTTGAAACTTGTCCTTAAACCCACTGCAGAGCACAGCACTTTCCCACAAGATATTTTACTTAAGATTTACTTAAGAATCAGTAGTTTCATGCTGGAAATATTTCCATCAATTTGTTTTTCTTGGCTCTTTTAAAAGCTCTTCTGATTAAATATTTTATACGCTATTTATTAATATAGCCTCTAATATGTAGTAGGACCATCACTCCAAAGGAATTCCAGAGTTGCTTTCTAGCTGCTTGAATGCTGTGTCTCTTCACCAGCTTTATCAGTTTAATAAGTCAGGTTTAAAGTTTCTCCAACCCAAAGCCCCACATTACAACAACATCACACAGGACACGTGGTTCTGATCACTCAAATGAACATGATGCAGGTTTTTTTGCAGTCAGATGGAACACAGAAATCAGCAGCGGCCAAGTATTTTCTTTTTTCTTTCTTTCTTTCTTTTTTTTTTTTCCTAGACATACTATATGGGATGCACAGGTATTACAGAGAGAGGATCTGGGCTGGCATTGTCCCAGGGCTGTTCCTCTTGTTTACAGACATACCACACTGCCCTAAGGCCACTTGCTGTTTGCTTACCTGGTCATTGTAGCTCTCCCACCATTCCCCATACTCCCTTTTGGGGTGAAACACTCTATTTCCGACTTGTGCTGGGCCAGTCTCCTGCCTTTGTACCTAATAAATCACGACAACAACAGGAGCAAACAGAAAGAAGTGATTGCGTGCTCAGCCTCGTGTGACAGCCGCTGTGCGAAGGGCCATGCACGTGAGTCTTACTATGGCAGTGGTGGGATACGGTGCAAAGCTGCCTTGGGAGTGGTGGAGTAGCTGCATAAAACCCCAGACCTCTGTTTAAGCAAATAGGGCTACAGGAGAAGTGCTCACCAGTTTTGTATATACAGTAGGAGCTAAATAACTCCACAGGGTAACTAACCAAGCAACCTTTTCTCTTTAATGCTTTTTGGAGGTAGACCAAGATGTGTAGGCCAAATAGATTAAGGGCAGCAATAGATTAAGAAGCAATGAAAAATGTCCTGATGGGTAACAGGTCACATTTTAATTTTTCTCTCTGATCCTCCACCTCTGTCACATTTGGTTTGTTCTCTGTGTTTGTAAAAGCAAGAAGCAACCTAGCTGATTGTTTGGATACCCTTTGACTGAGCTACTGTAGGCATAGCAGATGTCCACATCCAAACTTACTATCTATGCTTCTAAGGAAAGAGAGACTTCTCAGGCACAGTTCACGGCACATATCCTGAATATATTTCTTTCTCTCCATAAAGGAGGCTAGATGACTTGCTGAGGTGTAGACATGAAAATCAACTGAAATCAGCCCCAATCCTAGGGCTCACTTCAGTACTGTGAATATTTAAAATGAACACCGATACCTTGGAGTTGGATGACAAATTCACTTGGATAAACAGTTTAATACCTGTTGATCTAATTAATCCCTGGGTAGGAAACCAGCGTAAGACCTGGTCAACATTTACCTTCTGAGCACTTACTTGAGATGGGAGCATTGTCAAGGTCTTATGCTGACTTTCTTCCCAGTGATGAATTTCATCTTAACAGTATAAATTTCTGTGCTAGGCACTGAAATATTTTAATGATTGAATAAAATTTGGACAAAATGCTCACAATCAACCTCTTCTTTTTAAATAGTTGCTTGTCGCATTCCGTTCCCAGATGCTAGTCTTCATCATTATTTAATAAAACTCTATAGGGGGAGCCTGTTTATTTTAACATTGTTGACATAGTAGAATAAATGGCTTATTTAGTGCTTGTCTCTTCGCCTGATCTAGTTAATAAAAATAACTTGAAGTTAAAAGAGCCTGAGTAGAAAAGCAGCAAGGCTAAACCAGTGATGCAGCTGGAGCAGATCCTCAGAGGCGATGTGTCTTACAGTAAATAACTTAGGAAGAAACTTAGTGCTAGTGCTGAGAGTGAACTGGAGAGTGTAAAATGATATGTGCTCAGTGCAGAAAAGTTCTTTCTTTTGTAAATTATAACCTTACTCAAAGGGAGGAACAACAGGAGCTTTGCCGAAAGGCTATAAAGTCTTTTAAAGCAATCCAGATTGTGGTGTATGCAGTGCTCCCAAGAGGCATGAAGCTCAAGCAGGATACACACATATTAAATGGAAGTCGATTCCTAGGGTAGAGAAGAAAGTAAAGGGGCTTAGAGAATAAATAAATTCACTGAAAATACAAAGAAAGTCAAACCGGGTCATACAAATTCAGCTGGGGTAGCAAGAAAGAGCAAAGAGAAAAGGCTATGTGGAAATGTCACTAGAAGGAAAAGGAAATAAAGTTGGAGTGAAAGCATTAGACATCAAAGAAGGCCAAGTTTAGAAAGAGCAGGAGGAAAACTCAGTTACCCTTAATCCTGGTAACCAAAGCAGGTACTCTGTACCCAACAGTAGAGAAGAAGAAAAGACCAAGACCAGTTGAGGGAATTTGGAGACCCTAAATACTCACAATAAACTGAAAAATAAAAAGTAGTCAGTAGGAGGAAAGCAGAGGTAAATAACCTTAGTGACTCCTTCTTGAAGAATGACCGGTTAGGGTGCTTGAGACCCAGGTATAAAGAAAACCTCCAAATCTCCTACTCCCTAGCCTTTCACCTAAATGCCACTGCCATAAAAATCATCAGAACGGATCTCACAAAGATTGCAAGGAAACTCTCAGTTATTGCCATCCACTCAAGAGCAAATTACACCATCAGAAGAATGTTGTCAGAGATTCCTTCAAAGCCTTGAACCGTAACACCTGTTCCATGCTGTTCATTTAGTGCTAAATATCCAGCTATGAAAACAGTGACCAGAGCATGCTCTAATCCACCATGTTAATGAGTAAAATACATCTAACCTGTGCAAAGAAGTTGTGAATTTCTTTGGGTGATCTTTCTGGAGAGGGACATCAGAGGCATAACAAAAGGTTTTCAGCGTTCAGAGAAGATAAGGACATGAATTTGCCTCAGAAAATCTTGCTTTAGAAAAATGTCAAGGTAGTTTTTCTCTCTCCTGGTTGTCGAAAACAAAGGATTTCTTTGAATGATTTACTATGAGGAAAAAAGAAAAAAAAACTCAAACTTTTTTATAGTTGTCATAACAAATGCTAATGCAAAAATGATTTTGCATTTCAGCTGGTGTGTGGAGCAGGCATAAAACACTGCAGTGCAATCAGTATTTGCAAGTAGATTTATTTTCTGACAGTCCATACCAGGACCACATATTGGTTAGAAAAGATAGGGAGAAAACCCAATATTTTTGCAGTAGGGCAGCTCAAGAACCAAGTACTACCAAATTTAAATGGTTTGAATGGTTTTAGGTCATTTTGAGGGGTTTTTGGGAGACTTTGGGCATACAGTTGTGGATTGTTCAGGATATTTTTTTTTGCATGGGTGTGAGTTGCCTTAAGAACAAGTTTTTAATGATACATGCTAACAGGTTCTATAAGCATCAGTCAAAGTATTTGATACTTTTTAAAATGTGATCTGGGGCAGGAAACAGCAGTGTGACCATTCAGATTTATAGTATTGGACCTTATCCTTGCTTTCTTTGCCTTATAACAAAACTCCTCTTGTGGACTGAAATTAATTGGTGTTATAGAAAAGAAAAGGGGAACATGGGCATCGGTGTCCTGCATGAGACTAATAGCTGTCCAGTGACAATGCTTTAGAAATTAGCTTTTGAATTCTTGATTTGTAGATCCCTACATTTTTTTTCCAGTGGAGGCGCAGGCCTCTGTACAGATAAGAGCTAATAGTCTTAGATATAGCTTATTCTTACATTATCTCCAGACTTTAGGTCCAGGTGGTGGTATCCTGGTGTTTCTGACTTGATATCAGGGTGAGACCCAAGTGTGCCCATGGCCTCTCCTGCTCCTGGTTGCCCCTGGTTTCCATGCAGAGGATCTTGGATGCCTTGACCAGAGCCAGAATGTAGCGCACTGTAACACATCCCCCGTCTGAGGCTGTTGGTGGGCCAGACCTGGAAGATGTACTCTAGCCTAAATTTCTGAACAGTCTTGCCGAAGACTTCACTTAGAAAAGGTTTGTGGGTAGAACGTAGATGTTAGCATACAGATTCTGTTAAAAGGCCCACACAACACTGACTTAGAAAAACTACCCAAAAGATAGGTTTGCAATGGCAAAAATTGGGAAAATCTGTCCTCATAAAAATTTCCCATTAATTAGAAAGTGGGTTTTGTACTTAGACATAAGACTTTCTCTTTCTCTCCCTTCCTTTTTTTTTTAACTAAAAAAAAAACCTCAAGATGTCTTTATTCCTCTAATCCATTCGTGAATTACTTCAGATCTTTGAGGTCATTGATTCATGCGGCAGTGAGTTCCTCAGGTTAATGGTGAATTGTGTGCAAAAAAATCATATCACAAAACAAATCAAAACAAAAATCCCACTCAGGTCTTTTCTTTTATCCATTTTTCATCAACATCCTCTGCATGTATTCAAATTTCCCTTGCTTTTGTTTGTGGGGAAAGGATGATTAGCTGATATAGGCTCTGTCATATCTTATCTCATGCATCTCCTAGTAAAAAAAATAAAAAAAAAAAAAAAAGAACAATCTACATCTCTGCTCAGCTTGGAGTGTTTCCAGAATCCCAGATTAATCTCATCACTAGTCTCTGGAGTTCCTTGGCTGAGTGAAGGATTTAATCCATTGTTGATGCAATGCAAAGGAAAGCAAATTTACTGTGTGGAAGACAGAGAACTATTATCATCCATATTTCAAATACAATGTTACGCTGCTGTGCAGAAATTCTGTTATTTATTGAACAGCAAAGGTGCAGTTGGCACTGTTCAGACACAGGGGAAAAGAGTAGCTCTGACCAACATCTTTTTCTAGCTCAAGGCAAGAATAACAACATCCTCATGACATCATTGTACCTTGCAAGGATGGAAGAGATGGTGTTTCCATATTGAACAGTTAAGATAAGAGAAGATTTAGAGACTAATCTGGCTGGAGGGCAAGAGCTAATTCTGCCCCGGGGACTTAAGTTCAGCATTGCATTGCTTAACTCCCAAGGGACTTGTTAATTAATGAGATTCTGGTTTTTGGTTGAGATCTTGAATACGGCATCGGGTGTCTAGAACTTTCTGAATCAAGCTTTCTCCACACTTTAGCAATAATCAAGGCAGGTAACATACGTTATTTCAACATGTACTCTTATTTTGTAATGAATCTAAAGCAAGACCTTTTGAGAGTCCTGGAAAATGATATTAGTATAGACATGAGAAAAGCGAAGAGAGGCGAGGCGAGGCAAGGAGAGGTGAGGAGAGGAGAGGAGAGGAAAGCCATCTACCTCTGCTTTTAGATTAGGCTAAAATAAAATAAACTGAAATAGAGTATGAAAATCTTTTAATCTATCTATATGTATGTTATAGAATGCTAAGTCTGGCTGTCTTGAATGTTCATCATACTACCGTAATCTGGCAAATTCTTTCTGCAGATACAGAGCATGCCATTTTATACAGTGAAAACCTGCTTTAGATCCCTAATCTCTCAGCATCATGTGATAAAGAGTCTAAAACTGACCTATCATATCAATAAACTGGGTATTTGAAAACTTTAATAACGTATTAATGAAATATCACCTCTTTGCTTTCTGTCACTTTCCGTGAGTCTTTTCAACCTGCTTATTGAAAGCAGATTCAG